TGTAATGCACCAGGTGTGACACCCACTACTGCATTACCCAAACATTGCTTTAGCCACCACACTATTTCCTTCAAAACAAAGAGGCTTCTTTAAGTTACCCAGGAAACACACAAACTCCATTCAAACTAACACAGCCCAAGCTCTCAGAGCAGTGCCTTTCACAGGCTGCCTGGCTAAGGCAGCACACACACAGCAGGTGCTCCCTCTTTGCACTGACTTTGCTACCTGCCAGAACCACAAAGTTCTGCGTCAGCACATTTGACACATCAAGTCCTGGTCCTGTTAAAAATAACTCCATTTTGGCAATACTTAGCACAGTGCTTTTACCACCAGGAAGGAGCACCAACAGGTGTGAATGTCACAAATCAGACTTCAGCATGACTCAAGCAGCCATTGTCCCTTGGGACTCCTTGGCTTCCAGCTCCATTCAGCCACAGCAACCACAGCTCTGCAGACCAACCATCACAGGGGGAGCTGCAGCAGCTCAACATTTAATAGCATCTTCAGAGCTGTTCTAATGCAAACATCAACTTTAAATACAGTGATATTAAAGAAAATACGAACATAGCTTATTAATTGATCTTAGAATAGGTGGAGACTAATGGAACAAGTTAACCCAAACTTCTTAGAAGTGTGGAGAGGACACAGACAGACAGCAGGTGCTGTCAGCCTGCTCTGAAGAGGCCTCACATGCCATTACTGACGTTAGCTGACAAGCATTATCAGCTATTGGAAGGTAATTGGAAGCTTGCATATAACTCGGGGCTGTCGAGCAAGCAGCCAGTGCAATTGCAGAGCCCTTTTTTTTTTTTTTGAGGCAGGAGCAGAAGGAATGGCAGCACACACAGATCTCTCGTCCTACACCAGCACAGCACTCGGGCCCGCAGTGATGTCAGCACGACGGCACCCATCTGTCAGCAGCAGGACCCGGCAGCCGGGCCGTGCCTCAGCAGGCACACAGGAAGGAAGTGGCCCAACTATTGTTCTCAACTCGCTGCCATGTCAGCCTGCGTGCGTGTTATTAAAATCTGGCAGCACCAGCTGTTGTGTAAGATTTGGGGGGGGGATTCTCTATTTTAAATGTGTCGACTGAAACTTCTGGCACAGCAAGTTTAGCAGCCACGCCAAGCAACCTGCACGGCTCTGAGAGCTGCTGGTTCCTCCCCGGCTCCTCGCAGGTCTCCACGGTCCTGCTGCACACAGCAGCAGTGCTTGGGGGAGCCGAGCCGCACTCCAGCACGGGAGCTGACCCAATTAACACCGCAGCAAGCAGTGACCGTGCGGAGCCCCAGCTGGGTGACAGCAGCTTCCTCGCCATGCTTCTGGCTGATGTGCCCACCCACACAGCAGCTCATCAACAGGCAACAGCCATCAGCACAGCTGCACTTTAAAGCAGTATGTGTCAGGCTGCAGCAAGAGAAACGACGACAGCTAGGCAAGGATTCTGCTGGGATCTTGCTACCAGAGAGCATTCAGCTGTGGCACTGCACCCCAGCACTGTGCAGCACACACGGCACGGCCAGGCACACCGCCCTGGCACAGGGAAGTTTTTCTCACGCTTTAGAAAAACACACACTTGTGGATTTGCACAACTATTTGTCGTTGGTACAGACTCCACTGACACCGTGTGACACTCGCGGCACCGTAAAATCTGTTGTGCTTATTTGATCTCCCTTTCAGAACGAGGGAAGGTGCATCGCTGAGAGCATTCAGCCTCAGGGCAGCACAGAGCTGTTTCACAACGGGGCTCCGAGCAACGTTTGCTAACACCGAGGCTGCAGGAAACCCCAAGCCAGCAGCAGGGCTCGCCATGCCCACACTCAGGGCACCACCAAACGGGCTCCCAGCACCAGGCACAGAGAAACATGCTGCCTCCTCCCACCAGAACTGAGTCCTGGCCCGAGGGAGCAGGGAAACGCTGTGGATATGATCAGAATTTAATCTTAATACAAATCAAGTATGCTAATTAGTTTGTCTAATCATCAGAAAACTGGATTTCCACTGTTTACAGAAAACAGGAGGCGTTGCTCCTGCATTGCTTAACCTCTGCCTGCCTTTTGTCACTCAGACACTAATCCGTGGTAACAGCATCCTCTTAAACTGTTAGTTAAGTATATGCTGAGAAACAAAGCTTTCAGAGCAAGGCTCAAAGAATGCTTTCTAAAGAAACGAGGGGCTCTGCACTGCCCAACTCACCTTATTTCAATCCACAGGGCACTAAAAAGGTATCAGAAAACGGAACAGGAGTAAAAATAATATCCCTTCCATGTTTATCAGGATGAAATAATATTTATTCCAACTTTGTTCACAATCACAGTCAAAATTTAAACTAGGCAAAAACGTATGCAGCCTGGGAGATTTAGATTTGCCCCTGCCTAAAGGCATTAACGAGCTCACATTATCTACCCAAGGAGGCAGAACCTCCCTGAGAATCCTTCAGACGGCCCCTTTCTGATCTCAGCGCTGATGAGAACACTGAAAGGCAGAGCTCCAAACTGAGCACAGGCGCTGGGTTTCGCTGAGCTCCGACATCACCGTGCTCCCAAATCCTCACTGGAACAACAGCCTCCCCTACCCCAAATTTACACAGCATGGGGACAACTGCAAAACCCTGCACTGAAATAAAAGCACTCAGCCATTACAAACATCCTCTGCTTCCTGCCTGCCAGGACGGATGCTTACAGACACGCTCATACCTGGATGTGCTCTCCAGATTTTCCTTTTTCCCTTCTTACTTCAAAGGCTTTTCAAACATGTTTAGACAAAAAGCAAAACGAATCCTCTTCCCTTGCCTTCTGCACTCTCAGACTCATTCTGGGGCGGTTTTTCTTCTTCTATCCAAACTCTTTACTGAGAGTTCTAGAATGATCACAACCATCAGAGCTTTAAAAACTACGATTTTACTCCAAACACCTTTTTAATCAATTAACACACGCACTAACTACAAACACAAAAACTACTTAGCAACAATTCAAACAGGAAAAAGGCTTGTTTTGCCCAACAGAACTCAAGAGCTACAAGTAAACACAAAATAAAGCAAACAGCCCACAAGAGCTCAGCTCTAAATCCATATTATGAACACTGACTGGAGAGAGTCCCAGCACAGCCCTGGGCCTGGGCCCAGCACTGAGGCAGCACAATTCCACCTGCCCTGCACACCTGAGGCTGCCATTCACTCACTGCTTTAAGTTTACTCATTTCCGTGTCACTTACAGACCCCAACAGATCAGTCTTGGAAAATAAAGTTAAAAAAAACCAAACGAATCCCCTCTGACTGCTTTTGGTGCAGGATGAAGAGCTGTTATCTACAGCATTTCAATTCCTCCAGCGTTCTGAAACGCAGACAATCTACAAACATTTAATTGTTAACACCAGAACTACTTAACAATTTATAGCGATATAATGGAACTTAATACACTCCAAGATGTACAAGAGCAGCCCAACTTTTAAAAAAGCACAAAACAGCCTCTCAGGTGCGGCTTTCGGGCTTCTTTCCTCCTGCTATAGACAGTCAAGAAGCAGCACAAGGACAAGCAGCGTTTCCTTTTATAACACTTCTTAGTTTCTGGCTGCACAGCCAAGTTCCCTCTTTTCTTTCACTTCTGCGAAGTGTTAAAGCGGAATCGCGGCCCTCATCGGGCGGCGTTAAGAATTCTCCGATTTCTCAGCCTCGAGGACCTCCGCACACCAACCGCAGGCACTACGGGCTGTCACTGCCCTACAGCCCCAAACAAAGCCGCCCGGCAACCCCGCAAAGAGAAAGAGGCCCTCTCAGAAAAGAGCTGCTTTCTGTCAGAAAGAAATCCAGCTCCACTTTCAGAGCGCTCAACTCCTCGCAACCAAAGAGGCCGCGGAGGCGCGTTCGTTTCAACAAGAAAACAAACCGAAATCCTTCCACCCCGGCAGCGCTCCTCGCTCCGTATCGCGACTATCGGGACAGCACGGCGATATCGCGACTATCGCGACAGCCCCGCTCCCGCAGGCCCCGCCGCCCTGGCCCAGCGCTTCCCCTCTCGCCCCGCTCCCGCCCGCCCCTTCCGCGCTCCCCCCGGTGGCGGCGCCGCCTCACCCCGCCCCCCCCCCGGCACCCCGCGGCGCGGCCTCACCTGGGCCTCGATGGGGCCTGCAGGGCCCTGCCCCGCTCCCGGAGCGCCTTGGGCCTGGCCGGGCCCCGCCTGCCCGGCTCCAGGCGGGGTTTGGGTCTGGCTGGGGAGGGTGAAGTCGGTGAACTCGAACTCGGAGCCCTGCGTGTCGGCGCCGAGCAGCTCGGCCTCCTCCGTGTCCAGGAAGGTGAGGGTCTGCGAGCTGGGGCCGTACGCTTCCACACTCATGGCGGCGGCGGCGGAGAAGAGAAGCGGCGTTCCCCCCGCCTCGGCCGGGCCGCGCCTCACGGAGCCCGGGCGCCGAGCTACGCTAGCGGCGGGATCCGCCGCGCACACCAGGCCGCGCCCCCGAGAACCGACCGCCGATGAGACCCCCGCTGCCCCGCTCGGGCGGCCCCGAACGCGGCCGGACCGACGGCGGAAGGAGCCGGAGCCGGGGAACGGAACCGAGAGCCCCGAGACGCCGCGAGAGGAACCGTCCGGCCGCCGCGCGCCAGGCCAGCAGCGGTGACGCGGAGCGCACGGCGGACGCCAGCACGGCCCGTGCGCGTGGGCGGGTGACGCAGCACGCACACCTGGGAGGGCACGGCGGGAGGGGGCGGGGCTGCGCGCGGAAGGCGCGAAGGAGCGCGCGGCGCGAACCGCCTGAAGAGCGGAGGGGGGGGAGAACGGGGGACGCGTTGGGGGCGCTGTCCGTTCGCGCCTAAAGGAGGGGTTAAACGCCCCCCTCCCCAACAGGGCTCTCTCGCAAGGGGGGCGGAGCCTGATCGCTGACTGACTGCTGCCACAGCCAATGAGCCCTCGAGCTGAGGAGGAAGGGCGGGCTGTGGCGGCAGAAGGGCCAGTGGCGGCGCGGTGGAGGGCCGGGGGTGTTTGTGAGGGGAGCGGGGCTGTGTGGAGCCCTTCTTGCCCTTACTGGTGCTTCTGCAGTCTGCCCGCCTCTGTGGAAGTGCGGTGTCTGTGGTGATGGAGGCATTGCCGGGGCCTGCAGCGTTCTGAGGCGGGTGATAAGAAGGCTCTGGTGTCACAGTAATGCCAGCTGTAACACCCATCAAAGCTGCACTGCCCGGTGTGACTGGTAATGGAGTGCTGAACTGTCATAAGGGGAGCTGGGTGGCCTGTGGAGGTTCTGTGTGTTGTGTGGGGGTGGGCATTCAGTCTGTAATAAAGCTGGTTTGGAGGTTGGCAGCCCTCATCTCAGTATGCTTCAATCATCACCAAACTCATCTCTTTTGAGGTAACTCCCAGGCGCTGTGAGAAGCACTGGCAGGAAAAGCTGGTGCTGGTTCTGTTTTCCCCACTGAAGCCTTCAGCCATAACATGCACATGAATATTGGCTTTTTAAGTAACTTCAATTTTATTCTTGCTTTTGGTGTAGGGTAAAGCTTGGAACAGAAACATCTGCTGCATTTGCAGTTTTTAAGCTGAAAAGGTTTAAATGAAGATTGGAAAGGATCTCAATGCACCGAGAACAGGAGGGGGAAATGAAGATGGAGAGAGAATACAGGAGTCACTGCATCTACTCATGGTTTGTGTTTGTGTTGAGCTTTAAGCTATGAAGGGGCAGACTTACCAGTAGGTTATCGTAGATGTAGCTTAATTCATTAAAGTAGGCTAATTAAGCAAAAAAAAAGATAGAATGGAAATTTGGTTGTGAGGTTATGACTGCTGCGTTAGCTGCAGTTTAACGTGGTGACATCAAGGTAAGTCAGCATACACTCATATGTAATTTCATACATTATGTTGAGACTTTTGATTCCTCAAGTTGAATCACAGCTACATTAAACCCACTTGTAGTCTGACTGGAAAGCGTCCACAGGTGAATTGATACTTCCTTAAAACCATCTGGAAATTGTTTGTTTTGTAAGTCAGAGGGAAGCATAACTGCAAAAAAAACAGGAAGGAAATGAGATCTATTTTGAAGATTGCATTTATAAAACCAGGTAGGTTGTTTTGTATGGACACATATTTATGAATAAATAGACCGCTCTTGCAACGTTTGTCCAGTTTACAGAATCATCAGAAGGTTTGGAAAGCAAAGCTTTGATGTGCTACCGTATTTTTTTTCCCTCCCCCTACGTAAGACAGAAAATAAGAATGCTTTTAAAGAGAAAGAAAACTCCTTGAAGACTGCAGACCTCGTTGTCCCTGTGCTAACAGAAGGTTATTTTGGCTTCTGCTGCGCTGAGGGGAGGATCGTGCTGCTGTCTGAGGTGCTGAAGGCAGAGGGCTGCCAGGGGGTCCTGGAGATCCCCATGTACCTACGGTGTGCCTGGTGCTCCTGCTACACAAGTCAAAACTACACCCACTGTGATTTGAGTGTGGGAAGACTGTAGTTCATGTGGATGTGTTTGATGAGGGGTTTAAGTGGCAATCAGTTGTGGCCATTGGGCTCTTGGTTAAAATAGGGAGACTGTAATCAGTCTTTACACCAGCACAGAGGTGTGGCTTGCAAGAAAGATACATGTGAATTTTGTGACATTAATGCTTAATGGTAGGCCACTGCATTCTGGAAATTCTTTGAAAGACTTTGGTATATTTGAAGATGAGCACGTGTGCAGTCTACACTGCAATGCTTCCTGGATGATATTCTATTTGTGTAAGCATCATTTTGTGAAAGTTTTGCCTTTAAATCTGGGCTAATGCAAAGAGGTGCCACTTGGACTCGTTGGTCTTTATTGTTGTGCATCCAATATGAAATTCAAAAGGGTAACACTCTAAAAACAGGAGCACGTTGTCTGAGAATGATGGTGCTTCACCATTTTTATGGATGATTAGAGTCTAGAATTCACAGGACATGCTTAGCCATAAGAAGCTGTTCAAGAGAACTAATGTGGGTGAATTCAGTTTGTTAGAAAGATTCTTTCTGCTTGCTTGCATGAGATTGGAAGTTTAAGGTGGTTATCTTGAAGAGGTGATAATAAAGGTTCCTGATGATGTAAGCGTAAAACGGAAGCATGCAGCAGTTTACCTGTTGATAGAAATAATGCATTCGTGACTCAAAATAGTTGGCTGTGCCTGAAAATTCTCCTTGAGATTAATTTCCATTCCACCACATGCTATCGCTGGGATTTGATAACATCCTCCATCCAGGACTGCACAAGAGAAGTCTGAAATCAAGCTGTGATGAAAAGGAACGAACTGATTGGTCTCTGCAAGCTCCGAGCCATGGAGATAGAGTTAGAAAGTGTCATGATGACGTGAAGGGTTGAAAGCCAATCGAATGGAGCGTGAGGGATCTGCCAAACTGCTATTTCAGATGGCAGAGCCGGCTAAAGAAGCCGTGTATTTTTATCCTGGGAGACAACAGTTCAGATTAGGGGAAAATAAACATGAAGTTGAAATCAGATTTTCTTGGCACGGCACTTCAGGAGTGCTTGCACATTAACGTGTGATGATATTGTCTCTATAATAAGTACCGTGGTTGTGCAATATGTTAACATGTTATAAAATGAGAAATACAACCCATTAATTTATTATGCCTATTTAATCACTTTATCTTCGTACCTGCTCTGTTATTTCCACACATCTGCTTTTTAACATCATTTTCTGTTTAATGTTCAGTAACTTGCATTGTTTTAAAGGTTCTTAATTTTCTGTCTGCTTTTTCCTTTTGCTTTCCTCTTTTCTAGGTCTTCAGATGAAAATCCCGTGCAGTTTTACTTAGGTTATCAATCTTTTGCTTTTTAAAAATGCACCAGAAACGCAGCAGCAAAGCACAGATCCTTGAAGGCTATGAATTCGCCGTTCCATTGCAGATGTTACAGTTCTGCTCGGCTGCCACAAGAGGGACGTAGAAGGAAAGCTAAGATAACCGGGGAGAAAAAAACAAACCGAAAGAACAGCTTCATGCAGGTTCTTAGCAACATACGTTTTGCTTTTGTTTAGAAGGATCTTGTGGGATCATAACATTTCTATAGTTTCCTCCACCCCTAATAATCTTTAAAAGCTTTATAGACCTTAGAAAATGTGTTAATAAGCATTAATGGCTAAAATGGATCTTTTCCCAGAACTCCACAATCTTTCCTCAGCGTTTTCCTGCTGGAATGTCTGTAGCAGTGCTGGGACAGGGTGTGGTTGGGCTGGCTGTGTTTCTGTTCCATCTCTAGCTATTGGACAACAAATACTGCAGCGTTTAATAGGCATATGGGCAAGAAGGTTATGGAGCTATTTTTGTTTACTTCTATTTAATTTTCACAAATTAATGGGTGATGATGCACATGTCCTAAGATCAGAGCTCATATAAATGCCTTCACGAAACAAGAGGACCATAAAAACCTTTTAAGCAAATACTGAAGGATTTATTGGACTATTGTGGCATTAAAAAGCACAGTCTTGCACGCAGTAGATTGAAAGTAATGCACATGTATATTTTAGGATCTGCATCGTATTAATGCCTGATGTCAGTAAAGCTTTACTTCAGCCATTGTGAGGCAGAGGCATAGCTAGCTGGGCATGTGGCTTCATCTGAGCAGTAATACAGGAAGAAAGGGCTGTTCTGAATAAAATTATAGCAATTTTATGAACTTTAGTCCTTAATGCTTAAATTTGTATAACAAGTATTTTAACATCACATTAGAAGATCTCTGTCAAGTGATACTAGATTGAAGTCTTCTTTAAAAAGCCCTTTAATCCATAAAAACGCTTTCACAAGCTGAAAGCACATCAGAGAAGTATTATTGTGTGAATGTAAAAATTTCTCTAAGGTGCCAGGAATCTGAGTGCACCACTAAATGCAACCCAGCTTTGATTTCAAGACTGCAAATAACGTGGTATTGAAAACTCACAGAAAAGGGCTTTCGCTCGCTGCCAGTGGAATCTGGATGCTTTTATCCTCTAGCAAAGTGTAATGTTTCTGTTTCGACCGATTTGTTTGCAGCTTCAGCTGCACTGTGGCTGTGAAAAAGTGTTCCTGAAGCAAACTGGATGAGTACTTTAAAGCAGTGGAGGAAAAGGAGGAGAAGATCTTGACATTTCTTCAGTGATCTCGGATGGAGAAGATACTTAGATATTAAGGTGATGAATGACACGTGAAGATAATAGCAGTGTATGAAACTAGCTATAAACTGTGCTACAAACCAGTTTTCCTTCCCTGTCTAAGCTAAGTGGGTAGTAAAAAGCTAATAAACCATGGAAATGTAATTTGATGTTGAAGCACTACTTAAAAAGCCTTTAGCTCAGTAGAAAATTGGAAATCCTTCCCCCCAAAATGTAGTCAAATGCCTTTTACCTCTTGTTCCTTGTAAATAGCTGAAGTGTGTGGTCATCCTAAACAATGCCACGTTAGCACTGGATCTGACTTCGGTGAATGTATGGAGGGGAAAAACCTTTTTAAAAACAGAGCTGCTGGGGTTTTTATTGCAGTTTTTGCTTGCAAAAGTACTGGGTGAAATGAGCCACTTCTGTATAACTGGCCGCAGATGTCAGATTGCTCACAAAAAAGCACGGTTTTTAAAATCCAAGGAAAATAGCTGGAAATAGTGGATATATTCCTGAAGATATTTGGGAGTTGCTTGTGAAGTTTGCCTTTTGGAGGAGTTCTGGAAGAAGCAGACTCGTTAGAAATATTCTGTTTCTGAAAGGGCATCGTCTTCTCTTGAAATGGGATTTCTTCAAACCAGATGTTGTTGTATCTCAGCTGAAAAACAAATTTTGAATCTCCTGGTTAACTACAAAGAGAGTACATGTTTCTTTGTTTTAATGTCTGGCAGTTATCCTGGGCAGACGGAGGAGCAGTGAGGTTATTTTGGTATAATGTAAAATCCAGTTCTTCACAAGGAGTTTTGATGTGTTTGAATGGTGTGGGCTGGTGTCTCCCTCTGTTTCAGTGGAGACAACAGAAGAGTGGTGCTTTTTCAGGTTACCCACAGTGTCTTGTTTAAGGTATAAATACCTTGATTTTAGCAGTGTGATTTCTGATGTGATAACAGCTTGCTTTCTTCACAAAGCATTGCTGCTTTACAAACCTTTTTTTATTTTTCTTCCTTTTTTTAACTTTCAGGGAAGGGAACTTGCAAGGAGTTAAATGTGACGCTGTTTTTTGTAAAGAATATATTTAAGAGAACAAATAATTTGAAGAAGTCTGGGTTTTTTTTTTCTTTTGTGTCCTAAACTGCTATTTTTCCTTCTCTACTTCTTTAAATGAATAACTTACTTGCATTCTCTATATGTAAAGTAAATCCTTCCAAGCTAAACCTTCTTCCTGCTGTGGGAAAAGTCTGTTAATTTGGCACTTGTCTTAAAAATGAAATAACGTAAGTAATCCAATAATTAGGTGCGTTGCCCTTTGGGCTTTGTTGTGTGTCTGAACTGCTCTGAAGCTGTACGTGTAAGAACACGTGTTTAGCCACATAATGTGGCTGCATGATTTAATATGAGTGGTTCAGATTCCTGTTGGCCTAAACACCTGCATCCAGAGTGGTTCTTGTCATGAAATAACAGCCGTTTCGTTTTCTGCTCTCCAGCTCCCAAGGATTAACACGTTTTCGTGGACACCTCAGTTCTTTTTGATGTGAAATGCAGATTTTGAGACCAAGACCTTATCTTTCCACTGCCAATACTGAAGCTCCAGGAATCAGCAAGAATAAAACTTTCATACAGCTGTAGCAGCTATAGGTAGGACATGCAGTACAAACAGCTTCTTTCTTGCTTGCCTGAAAAAGAAAAAAAATTCTAGAATTGAGGGAAACCAAATATATTAGGTGTTGCAGTAGTTTTCCTGTGATGGAAGCCCTTCCATTGAAAATCTTGTATTTCTGATGTTTTGGGGTGAGTACAGGGCAGAAAGAGGTTGGGTGCTGAACCAGACTGGTTTTGGGATGGAGAAGCTTGCTTAAAGTGGAAAGAATGTTTTCCTTGCAGCATCTAGTGGATTTGAGGAGGAACCAAGCCAGTACTGAGCACAGGTCATGAATGGTTACAGTGTAGCTGTGTAATGCCTTCCCAGAACTCATGAGTTCCTTGGAAATGTACCCAGGCTGCTGGTGGCATTCTGTCAAACAGTGTATGAAAAGATCCCGAGGCCGCAGGGTCCCAGGTTTTAACAGTACTGAGAGTGAATGATTTCATTTATTATGCCATCTGCTTCCTAAATGCAGCGGGCTTAAGTGGATTTGCTTCTATTTGCTCAAAAAAGAGTTTCCAAGTGTCAGATTGATGATATGGAGTGTTTCCTATAGCTCCTTTGCATGCCCATGCTGGTTTTGCCTTTTTCGGTGCAGTTTCATAGCCTGCTCCTCAGCTGCTAAGCCAGGGCAGAGGAAAAGCCATTTTCCCACCCCAGGCTGCTGCTGGTTCCTGGGACTTCCTCACGCTGGCTGATTTAAGACCCACCAGCATGCCTTGGGAGCATCCACACCCTGATGGCAGCACCGTGGGGCTTTCTCTGGACCAAATCCAACCTGCCCTCTGCTAGGTTTCCAACAGTGCTTCCAAATGGCTAACCTTTGCTTTTGGCTCTGCTCTGCCTCCTGCGTGAAGGGCAGCCAGTGTGACAATGAATGAATGGAAAGGTTCTGGAAGTGCTATGAAAAGAGGAGTCCTTCCCCCCTGCTCCCTCTGGTGTCATGCAGACTAGCAGTTATCAAGCAGTGCCATCTGAGATTCATGATGAAGAGGCTAAAATGGAAATGGAATTTGCTTGAATTCCTGGACCCTGAGCAGGGTTCATGGCAACCCTTTGAACCCATTACGGAGTCTGGAAACTGTGAACTGGGTCTGTTTTTACTAAAAATGAATTACCAGACTTAATTTATGGTCAAACAGAAGTTTTCACATTGTTTTTCAGTTTTGGTCCAGAAAATCCAAGAGTCCTATGTCATGTGGAAGAAACCCAGAGCACAGAAACATTGCACGCAGTTGTTAGCAAATGTTATTAAGAGAAATGAAATGCTATGCCTTTATTTCAGCTATCGTATGAAGATTGAGCAAAGGTGCTCTGGGAAGCCTGCTGGCAAGTAAGTGGCATTCCAATCTCAGACAAGATACGAACATATTAGGCCACTTTCTTGGCTGCAGGTTATTATATGACTTTACTGGAAGAAATTATTGCAGAAAGGATCTGAAAATCTGCAAAGCAGTAATTCTAAGCAGCACTTTGGTAATGATGTCATTTAAACAAAAAGTAATATGAAGCACTGGGCAGTGACCTTCTTTGGATCAAGAGCAACACAAGGCCGCTAGCCAAAATGCAGGAGAAGCTGCACGGTGTAATGAAAGTGTTGTGGAAAGTCCAAAGCATGTAAGGTCAAGGTCAAGTACAAAAAGAGCGTATTGGGATGACCCTAGGAGTGGCAGAATAAACAGTGCAGTATTTTCTACTGCGAAGGTGTAGAAGGAGGTGGAGTGGAGGAAGCCATTTGTAATTCTAGTCATGTACTGTGGACGTTTACGATCGGTCTGTAAGTGTTCGAGTAAGAAACCAAATCATGGGCTAGCTGGAGCATTGGAAGACTGAATGATTGCTGTGATATCACACTGATCTTAAACTATTTGTTCTTTTGGAACTTAAGTCCAGTTCTAACTTGCATCTGCCTCTTCTCTACTGAGGAGGCAGAAAAGCTGAAATGAAACAAGGGACATTATTCTTGATGGATATGAGGAAACATCAGAAATACCTTGTAAAAACTGTGTTATTGTAGATTTTTTCGTAATGGAATGACCCAGTATGGAAGCACAAGTGTCTGTACTGAAGGATCAAACTAAGGTATGGAGATTAACCCTTTCTGTTATGTCTGTGTAGCTTTAACTCAGTTCATCTATGAATGGCTGGAGGCCTGATCAGCTTTGGAGGCTCCACATGCCTCACCCTCCTTCCCCTCTCTCTATCACTCATTCTGTGTTCCGCTAGAGGCCACCACAAACCTCATCTGAAAAAAAAAAACAGAAAGGGAGGGGGCACCTGCAGGAATAAATGGCAACAGTTCTTATTTTATAGCGAGGTTTAGGAGTGCAACTCAGATCTTCTTAGAACAGTTTCTCTTCCCGCTGTGTTAGGAGTAACTCCCAGATGTGACTTGAAGCCAGCAAATGATCTCAGGCAGTGAGATCAGATTTTGCTGAGTCTACAGGGTTAGGCATGTTCATTGCTCTCCTTCCAGAAGGTCTCCTATCCAAACCATGCATTGACATTTGATTTCCTTGGGAACGTTGGCCTTCACAGTAGCCTTTACAGCATTTGTGTATAGAAACCCACAGTTACAACGTTGTCTCTTGCCTTGCCAGTGGAGAATTGCTTTTGTGATGGCTATTTATTCACCTGAGGCGTGGGGTTCCTGGAATTGTGTGTGCTTTCCTGGAAGAAGTGTTGAACAGTGTAATGGTTTGTGCAGAAAGCATTCAAAGACTGAAGCAAGGAGAGACAAGGCAGCTGGACTTCAGGGAGGGCTCTCAGATTCCACTCCATGATAGGTATTTCTCTGGCCATCACTGTCTCAGGAACTCAGAGTCGCTTACACCCAAAGTGTTTTGGCTTGAATAAAGGTTAATGGGAGAAACTGAGTGCTGTGCTGGCCAAAAGCAATTGGCCTTTATTGAGGGAAGCATTGCAAAAATACAGGGGATCGAACTTCTGGTTTCCATGTGGAATTAGAATTAGTGAAATCTTGTGACTATGGCAATTAGATGCCATCTGTGTCCTTGCAGTCTTTGGAAGGAGAAAGTTTAAATGAAGCAAGGACTTAACTCTGAATCTTTACCCACATCTCGATACTGAAAAATATTGTGAAAAAGATTGATTTTACTTTTGTGGCTGTTTTTCAGATTTGGGTGGGGTCAGCAAAGGGAATTGCCAGAAATCTCCAGAGCCAGTTCATTCCTGTGAGATTTCTGGTCTGATATTTTCTTGAAAACTCGAGAGGTTTGGATTACTCTCCAGACTTCATCTTTCTGGAGAGCTTCCCACTGCTTTTTAAGCCTGTGTACACGAATGCCATTTTTCCATTTCTCTAGGGGAGAAAATAAACCATAGTCTGAATGATGCTGAATTTTCCTCTGAGTTTATAAATGATGTACAAAGGAGCAGAAATTTCAAAAAAAGCCAGTAATCTGTAATGTCTCAAAGCTTATGAAAGTAAATTGGGCACGAAAAGAGATCTGTGGTGAGGTGGGCTGATGCTGTAGCATAGCAGGGAAGGCGCGTGTTTACCAGCCGGTTCCCTCCACAATCAGTGACAGTGATGAAACCATAAATGTTCACAAACTGTTCACTTTGAGCTAATGGGCTTCTTGAATTGATCCTCTTGACTTACACCTGCTAATAACTTCCTAGGTAGCCTGGACAAGGAGCTCCTTTCAGCACTGAGAAAGCTGCTGTTTGGATCGTGTTCTTAAATCATACCTGGGTGCTTTCGGGCCTGAGTGGGGAGATACTTCTGCATGAGAGCAGCTGAGTATTTAACAGTTATCTAACCAAATGCAGATGAGGGCTCAGCTGCCTGGATCTGCGCTATTATTTGTGTTTGAAAATCCACCTTCATGTTGTATGAGATCTCTTTTGAGGGAGACAAAGTGATCCTGCTCCTGAGGACGATACCTGTCCTCCCCCACCCCCGGAGCGTGGGCCTGGTGAGCATCTTTGTCTATTCATACATATGGCAGCTGCAATTATCTTTGACAGAAAGCCTGTGGAATGCCTCAGGCAAGCACTGGAAGTGGGGACAGCAGTGTGGAGAATGTTCTGCCTTGTGATGCGACGGGCTCTGTCTAGAAGGCGCTGGGTTTGTCAGCCTCTGCTTATCCTTGAGGATTCTTTTGTGGTCAAGGTTTTGGGTGCAATGAGGGCACAAAAGGCAGTTTTCAGGAAGACGATTCATTTGTGTTTGTTCAAAATCTAACCCAGTTATTTACAGCAGTTGAAGTGAGGTATAAGCAAAAAAGATTGAAAGACAATGTTCTGCTTTACCACCATCATAGAACTGTACTTTTTTTTTTTTTAATTAAAGCTCTGCTATAATGATAACCATGTATATTTTTTCACATTAAAGATTCTCACTTTTCTACATGGATAAAGAAGCCCTTGCAGATACAGCCTTGACAGTCTGCTGGTTCTTCTTGTCTCTCTATTCTTTGTGCCCTTCATGGCTCTGACATTCATCTTGATTCCTTGACAACTGAAGAAAGCATTTACACCTGGAGACTTTTCACTGTAATTCATAAAGGCTACTTTTCCACGCTGCTCTTGTGTAAGGAAAGGTCAGATTTCTGTGTGCAAGTATTAAACTATTCATACTAAAACTGAACTTAAGTGTAGCCTCCTGAGACAAGGAGTGTTACATTTCGTGATCAACTTCTTTCTTCCCTTTCTCTGAACCATCCCGTATTTTGAAGAATTGAGTTTGGAGGAAGCAATGCTCAGGCTTCTGACCTGGTGCCTTCAGCATCCCTATAGTCAGTGAAGATGAAAGGGTGATTCAGTTAATCCTTTGTGACTACTCTTCCTCTGTGTACAATATGACTTAATTTCCACAGCTGAAAAAGTTTATATTTCTTGCAAGAGCTGATTGCAGTTTTTATTTTTTTGCAGGGTGCCATAACAGTGGTCTTTTAATTGCTGGTGTCCTGAAAAGACCTGATTGCTTGGTACTGCTTCTGCTTATTTCCAGCTGTTAAATCACACTGGATATCATCCTTCTGGTTTTTGGTGTTATTTGTGTGTGTGGAGGGAGGTTTGTTCTTGGTTGTTTTTTTTTTTAATGTAAACAGTGGAGCTAATTGCTATGGAGAGGATATATGAAAATAAGCAAATGAGAAGAAAAAATGGCCCCTGTTACAGACAGTGAAAGTGGAAGTGTCAAGAGAGCTATCATTAATCTTAAATCAACACTTAGTAAAAAGCTACAACTTCTTACTGCCTGTATCCAGAAGGCTTGGACAGGTCTGCTTAATATAACTTCTGGCATGGAAATGTTTTTGATGTTCCCCTGAGGTGTCCACAGAAAGGACAGCTTTGTGGTCTGCAGCTAGTAGGTCCAGCGTGTTGGAAAAGGTAACTTACCACTTCATACTTCTGAGGCAGAATAAACTGTGAAGTTGAAATTTTCTCTGTGGATCTTTGGGATGAGACCACAGAAAGCACAGCTCTGTCTCCTGTGAACGGATGCTAACCATTCCTTGGCTCTCTCTCTGACAAGCGTGGTTTTCTCTGGAGTCCCAAGCCAAATGTTTCTCTTTTTTTTTTCCCTGCCGTTCTGCACTCTGTTATATATTTGGCTGTGCTCTCTGTCCCAAAGGTGTCTATGTTCTGGTGGTATGAGGTATGAATAAGTTGTCAAGTTCTTTGGGATCTTCCCTGATGAAAGGCACGATGGAAACTTGATCTTTTTTTGAAGCTACATGGCACAGCACTAACGGCGTGTGCCAGCTTGTGGCTAGCGGGCAGTGATCTGAGGACAGCAAATTCCCATCTATGTGATGTCTGTGTATATGATACAGAAATAGCATTATTCATACACAGTATGTGCATTTATGTGTAGCTACTGAACCAAGCACGTGTAGACAGCTCTAGCATCGTATCAAGGTGGAGTTCCAGGGCCCCTCATGTTAAGTATTCGGCCTGCAAAGGGGTCGATGCCAGACATTATGAAACTTTGGTAGGGTGATCAAAAGCAAGTCATTGCTCCTGAGGACAGGTCTCCAGGCTATTAAAAAGTCTACGTGCTGTCTGCCCACCTACATGTGTGATCTCAGAGCCCTGAGCACTTCCAGTCCCCTCAGTAATGAGACAATTCCTGTTTGTACTGTTGCTGAAGACCCCTGGATTACACAGTAGGAAGATTTGACCAGGGAGATGGATTATATACATCATTTAGGGGAAAGGAAAAACCAGCCTGCTTACAAGAGCTTTTGTTTTTAAGGTTTGCCATCCCTGAGAGTTTTTGGAAGTGACTGAGTGCATACTGAGCAACGAGTGAAAGCAATCAGGAAAGCTGTGTTATTGTCATTATGACTCTGGGAGGTGTCTTTTAGTAGCAAAAACCAAAAAGGGAGACCACGGCCAAAACAGTTTTACTGCAAGAACTGCATGCTCCAAGCATTAATGATACTCCCAACAATAATTTCCAGCAAGACATGATGGCTTAACCATCGCATCAGTTTGCATCTCCTTTGGTCAAAACAGCCTTCAGTCTTCTTTTTCTTTTTTTTTTTTTTTCCAGTACAATTCAGTTAATTATTCCCAGTTCCCTCAATGAGTCTGAGCTCCCACTGGCTCTTGGAGCAATAGTAGCTTATTGTTGCAAATGAGCTTAATCCAGTGTTAGAAGTCTTTATTGTCTATAATAGAAAATGGCATGAATAGTAAAGGAAAAAATGTGAGATGTTTCCTGTAAGGTTTTAACAACCCTCCTGGGTGCATGATTACAACATGTGCTGGGGAATAGTTTTGAGCAGGGTGGCGGTGAGGAGAAGGAGCTCTGGCAGCAATTTACACCCCCATCTGTAAGCCTCGTTACAGCAAGCTGCTTGAGAAGGGGAAGGTGGGACACAGCTCTTCTCAGTCTGGATGTGCCACTGCTTTTCAGTCCTTCGCCCTTCTGATTTGTCAGTTTGTCTCTGGCAGGCTTAAATGAGAGGCTTAACGAAGCCGAATGAGGGCTGATATGGAATTTGTGGGCTTACGAAATCACTTTGCTTGGCCTCCTGCCCTCAGTTTTGTAGAGTTTCAGTTCCAGGTGTTTCGTTCTTTTCAGACAGATCTATGATGACACCACATCTGATGTATTTTGGAAAGGGATTATCAGTGTGAGACCCAGGAGTGGAGAATATCTGATGGTGCTATGGTCTGTCTACAGATGACAATGGAGAACAATGCTCAGGGTGGTTCTGTATTCAAGATCCTGTATTTCAGCCTTTCTTCACATAGACCTCAGACCTACCTTATAGATTTTTCACCAGTCCTGTCACTGGCCTTGTCTCCTACTGTTTCTGATGAGTCCTCAGATGGAGCTGCTAGTAAGTTATGCAGCAGTCTTCCTCAGAAGAATATTGTGGCAATGAAGACTGAAGCATTTGTTGTGTTGGCTGTTTAAGAGCAAAAATAGTGGAAAACCCCAAGTCAGGTCATGCTGGTTCTGTCACTGGTGTTGAGGGCTGAGTTAAGGCTGAAACAAAGAGTTGGAATGTGTTTTCAGCTCATCTGCCTTTTATGTGGGAGTCGTCCCACAAATGTTGGAAGTAATCTCTGCAGCTTTTTTTCATAAACCATTTTCAGCTATTTCTATACCCTGTCTTAAAGTTGTCGGTGTTTTCTCACATTCTAAAACTCTTAAGAAATTGGTCAGGGAAAAACTGGTGTCCCATTAGAAGTCAGATTTTCAGATGCAGAAAGGGTAAAAGAAAGCAAATTCCTAATAGTGTTGCAGGAATAAGCAGCAAAGCTGACCCTTCTGAGCTCTAATCTTCAAGGATGGCCTCATTTTCTGTACTCTGATGCAGTGACCTCCTCTCAGGGGACTTCCCTGTCACAGGGTTCCAATTGATTTGATGCTGCAGCTGTGGCCACTGTTATGTCATTCTGCTTAAAGCCACAGTAGATTGCGTAACTGTTTCTAGTTCATCTAAATGACTTCACTGATATTACTCAAATTCCATTAGTAGAGTAGAAAACGAGGAGAATTAATGATAAAGTTAACATAGTGCACCATGGAGCCATGTCCATTTATTATATTTTTGCAGGCTTGGTTCTCTGTCATTGCAGTTTGCCATTGATTAATTGAAAGGAACATTAAAAGTACTTATAAAAGGTCTTCAGTCAACTTCAGTATCTTGCTTCCCTTAGAGATTTGAAGTTAAGAGACATAAACCAGATTTCAGCAAGCTGTAACTCTTCAAACCAGTCACAGAGCACGACCTTGAATGGATTATTGCATCTTGCACTGAATGAAGCATGTGGAGAGGAGGTGAGGCTGTTATTCTGTATTGACTGATGGAGTTTTCTTACAATATTTGCTTCACTGTACATTTTGATGTACAAATAGTGAATCTGCCTTTCCTAAAGCACTGGTGTTGTTATTTGCATTACTTAGTTCCGACCTAAACTTTGTTACCTTGGGGCCACAAATAGTTCTAAACATAAATCAATTAAGAATCCTGTTTGTTGAGATTGTGTTTTAGCAACAGATGAAATGTTTGTACATAACCAAGCTGTAAAATCATGTTTTGCAGATTTCTGAAGATAGAAGTTTGTTTTGACTGGAAACACTCAGCAGAAAGGTAGGACAGGACTAATGATTCTGCTCACTGCTGGGCATGACCTTCACTGTCCAGTCCTTTCCACAATATCCATCTCTAGAATTTGCAAATGTTCATCCATGGCATTCAGAATGAGGAGATGCTGAGAAGTTCCAATGTATTGGGCTTATTACTGATCTGCACGTGAGTGAAATGGAAGTGAGCGTTGAGTGCATGTGTCAGCTTGGTTCAACTCCATTTGTTGTCTCATAGTCCACCAGAACAGAGAATGCATCTTCCATGACATTGACAGTTTTACTTGTGGTGGCATTTAATAAAAATTATGACTGACTATGATTTAGTTCAGACTTCAAGCCTCACAGTTGACAGTCTGCAATGACTGTGACCAGTTTTTATCTCCACCTTTTACAGTGGATGTATGAAAGCTGGAAACCTAGCTTTAATGCGTGAGCATTACCAGGCTCATGTAAAACTACTGAATTGAAATGCATGTCTTCTCATATATAATGCTTTAAAGAAGGTACTGATCTGCTCTGTGTGCACACTAAGAAAAACAGTGGGCCTAAAGAGCATCCCTTGGAAACATTTTCTAGCAGTGGGAATATAAAGCATTGGAAGGCTTCCTGAGCTGGTTGTGGAGCTTCTATCACTGGAGGCTTTTAAGAACAAGGCAGAGAAATCTGACTCAAGAATGCCATAGATACTACTGATCCCCTTTGGGAGAGAAGGTGGAAAATATTTTAAAATCCTTACTGGTTATCTTCTAGAATGATTTTGTTTCTTATGGCCATAAATATATAAGAATAACTGTAAAACACTTAGCATACTACTTTGGAGACTGGAGGTGTTTTTCACTTATTTTTAGAACTTGACCTTAAGACTGAAAAATAACTTTTTCCTTCTGACTTTTGTTCTTTGCCTGGCAAACTTTAGTTAAAAACACAGAGATGGAAAATATTTAAACTTTTAACTAGCAGGAGCTTTTCTTCTTGTTGTTTGTTTGTGTGCTAGCTCATTTGTGATGTCAACTCCAGTCAGGGGAAAAAGGTGTAACTAACTTGGCACTGCACAGAGTGCAAAAATAGTTATGCCAAAGCCCACATAAACACTATCTACTGCTCAGTGTTATTGATTTATTTTTATCAGTAATACTTAAAAAAAACCATGCTATTGACAAACCTGGAAGATGTTTCCCCATCAGATAATAATAATAAGTTCAAGTACATCATCCACTCTTCAACTTGCCCTTTTACACAGGAGCAGGTACCCAGAATGAATCACGTCATGACTGAACGCTTTCTGACCTACTGTTGTGTGTTGAAGCAGCATTACAGCAATGATTTATGGGATTTCTGGCCCTTAGATCCGAATATAGAAAGATGAAGAATGAGTCCAAGGAAAATAAGGGTAGGAATGACCTCATTTTGTGGAGACACCAAGTCTTGGTCAACTTCAGAAAGCTGTGAAGAAATGAGCTGCGTTTTTCTCTGTGCAGTTATTTTATCACCATCAATGAAAAGGTCCCAGAATCTGTTGCAGAATAAAGAGAAGTGACTTCAGGTTTCTAGAACATAAAGATACACTGATGGCTGCCTGCATATGCAGAAGACATCATTTATAATTAGCACAGTGTAAATATAATAGGCCTTGGTTCAGTTCATTTGGAGTAAGTGATCAGTAAGCACTATTTTGTCAGCATCCTGTCCCACACCAGTTGTTGCTGAGGAAAACTGATGTCATTTCTGAGCAGTGAATATTCCTGACATCACTGAGTTTGAGGACTTGCAGCTTCTAAATACCAGCAGTTTCTGTCTTGTGCTGTCACGTATCAGCAGACATGTAGAGGTAACATGCTTCATGTGTTCAGTTTGATCTCCAGCCTCCACTAATAAATTAATTATAAGTGACTTTTGGAAGGGAAAACAGATGGTGATGAGCTTGCAGATTGTCCATGTCACCTAAGTTCTCCTTTGCCTCCCTATGAAGCGAGCCAGCGTCTCTGCTGGTAGCCTGTAATGTTTTAAATCCTTTGTCTTGCAGCTTGTCCATACAATGTATTTGAAAGAGTGAGGTTCTCTGCTTACCACTCATCCTTCAGGGTGACTTGAAGAGTTTGGGAGCTTTCTTCTTTTTCTGCCAATTATTTGAATTTCCAAAGGAAATAGTCTAACTTCTCTGCATTCTTGAGTTAGTTTGAATGCTGAATAATGGGCATAACTTAAGAACTTGTGAATTTTAGACAAAACGTGATCACCAGTTTATAGTATTGCAACAGGGTTTGTGATTCTGAGCAGCTGAAAGTGTTCAGCAAAAGGCTGAGCTCTGTGCAGGAGAATCATGTCTCCTCTTGACACATTGCTCTTTCTGGACGCAAGCACTGCTCCCTTGTTGGCTGGGGGTCACGCTGTTTTACAAGCTAGCTTCACATGGCCTCAAAAATGGTTGTTTCTAGGCAGCCCATGCCTCTGCTGAAAAAATGGTTTCCTTCTTTTGGCCTCTGAAGGCTTAGAAACATAGAAGTATCCAGTTATTTAGATAATGGGCTTTCAAGCAACATCTTTATTAGGTGTCTGAGTTTAAGGCTTTTTGAATGTAGGTTTATTTGGTTCTATGTCTTGATACCATCAGGTAATGCTCCATTTGGATAGCAGAGAATGTATTCGTATTTTATGTGCCTTGTATTAAATGGTTCCTTTTTTTCCCCCACTTGCCACAAGAAATAAACCTCCATGGTCGATTTGATCTTTGGATTCACAACCAGAAGTCACTTGCTGTGCATAACATGAGGTGACATGTTCCAGACAAGAAGAATCATGGAAATGCCACCTAGGTAAGGTAGGCAAACTAACTTAACGTTTAGTATAAATTTACTTGGTGAGAAAATGTAAAATCTGTCTGCTGCAGCACTCCTGTAATATAAAAGTAACACTTGTCTGCACACTGTGCTGAACATGCGTGCTCAGCAGTGCCTGCAGGACTGCACGGTTACCTTCAAGAATTGTGCATAGCCACAGGGATGGGAACTTTTTCCTGAATATGGGAGGTCTGAGGCCAAAATGAGGACAGAAGCCTTCTGTCAATTCTGTCAATATCCAAATATTCTGCTTCTATAACACTTTAAAGACTGAATTACTGTTTTCTGGGGCTTTCCTGTCTGTGGTGTCCCGAAGGATTTGGGATGATCAGCACACTAATAGATTTCATAATCAGACAGTGAGAATGTGTGATCAAGAATTTCACTGCTCCACAGACTCACCTTTTTGACAGGCCATGGTTTAACTTGCAGTTTCCTTCATGCAATAGCTTTAAGATTTTGGGGGGGGCGAATTTTCTTTGGCTGCCCTGGACGGATTTCTCCATCTGCTCTGTGTCCTCTGGTGCAAAGTGCTGGATTTAGACTGACTGAGGGGAAACTGCTGGACTGAGGCTCATTCTTTCACAGACAAGAAGCAGCACAGTCTCCCTTCCTTTCATGCTGTCACCTCTGCACTGCATCCTTTTAGACAAGCCTGGGTAGGGGGGGAATGAAAATGTCAGCCTCTAAGGACCGGTCCATTCGCCAGATCCCTTACTGAAAATGGTGCGATAGCCCCTCTTTGGAACTGGAAGATGACTCAGTAATTCTACCCCAAGTGTGAGTGGTAGAGCTGCCTTGGGGCGTTCTGAGAGCCCTTTCTGAAACTCCACTGGGGTCCAGATGTCTCATAGCTTTTGTGATCTTGTGAGTAGTTTTAGAAGGAAAATCTGTGAGGTTTAGGGATATGAATCATCCGTCTATCCTGTGTCCATGAAGAAGAAATAAAAACCTTGGTCCAAAAAAAATCCATTTAATTCTGGAATTTTCTGACCTATTTTGGTGCAAGCCGATCTAAAAAAAAAAATCAAACTACTCTCCTGATGAGTTTCTCATATTGTTTACTTTTGTAACATTCTCTGTGGACTAGCAGCCAGAAATGACGTCCACCCGTCGTCCAGCATCAGAGAATAAGAACTTCAGAGGAAGGAATGCAACTTCATAAATAGGAAACCACAGATACTAATGGGGAGCAGAGGCAAACCTGCAGGTTAAAAAGTAGTTGCAAGAGAAGCTCATACATCCACACTGCGTGGAGATTCAAAGATGATTTCAGCTCTAGCCTTTGTTTTTCTCCTCTGCCTCTCCTGTCCTTTTTCATCATGTCAGCAGAGAAGAGCAGGTAAGAAATTCTGATTTTTCTCTATATTTTCTGGACTCTGTTTTCTAGGCTGCTCTCAATATTCTGTTTTGCAGCAGGGGATGAGCAAGAAGATAACTTTTCAGCTACATCTGCTGAAGCCTGAAAGCTGTGCTTAGGGATTTTGTAGTCCTGCATGAAACTTGAAGCCGAACTCTGTAAATGTTCAGTCTTAGATTTTCCTCCCTTTGCTGCCTAATTAGTGATGTATTTTTAAGAAAAGCATTTATCTTGGGGCAAATGGCAACGTTGTGTTCTGTAATGACCTACAAGAGACAATTTATATTAATCTGTGTTGCATGTGATTAAGAAAAAAGCTCACGCAGGATGTTCTGTAGCAGGAGCCTTGGATATTCTCTCTGCTTGTGCATCTAGAGCTTAGAGTAGTCCTAATTTCTAGGAACTTAGCCATGCTTACTTCAGCTTAATTCATTACAGAAGTTCCACTTCTCTCAACAGCCTGTTAGGGGACGTTCAGCATCAAGAACTGTACCAAGAGAATCAAATGCATGCTGGTGGAAAGAGAATGAGCCCATAGAGAAAGGTGCATCGTAACAGAAATGTCTGCAAGTGTATAGATTTAGTTTGGGAATTGCTCCTGAGTGGCTGACTCATTATTATGAATTTGAAACTTAAAACACATTAAAAAAAAGCCTAATTTTGAGATATATCTTGCTATTAGGAATGGAAAATTCTTCCATAACAAAAATAACAAAGCTGCCTGAAGTCTTGATATAGAGCTTATTCAAAACTCCTTTTTGAAGTTCAAACCATGTGCAAGCTCCTTGTTTTCAGTAAAATAAGGAATGTCATTTTCATTCACTCTATCTTAGAATTTGCAGTGCTTTCTATTTAGTTCCCAAACCAAAAAGTACTGGAGAAGGTACAAATATTCCTCAAGTCCTCTTGGTTCTGTGCGGGGAAACCCACGAGGCTTTCAGGCTCATGTATCACCTGAGTTGTGCTCAGCAGCAGGGCTGTCACTCTGCCTCTGGTGCTGGCACAGTCTTCATGCCTGGAAGAAGCAGACCCCAACTGCAGCTACTTTTCCCCTGCTTGTTTGCCTCGTGTTTGGTAGAAGACACTGCTATTCCTGTCTTCATAAAGATTTGCTTGCACTGTAGGGAAGGTGTGACATCTGTTAGTAGATTCATTAATCTAGGAAAGCTTTGAGAAACAAGGCTGTACTTTCTCATGGCAGTCAGGAGAATGCTGGAGTTGAACTTTCTGTCCAGTTGTTTTTAAATATTCATATTTTCATATGTATTTTTAGAAACAGTAAGCAACTTCCATTCATTCTTTCAGAGCTAAGATGAAGAGCGTGGACTGGATGTTTAGCATGCCTCAGTAGATGAGGCAAGTCTACAATCTATTATCTGAGAAGGAAAACTCACACATGGGTGCAGATGTACCTTTTGTGTCCCAAAGCCACTGCAGAGCAATCTGAAACTACCCAAAATGAACCCAGCTTTGTGCAGCAAGAAGTCTGAGCCTCCAGAACAGGCAATGTAACAGCTGAGGTGCTAGTTTTCCACATTCGGTGCTTGGCAGCACATTTGGGATAGACTCAGCAAAGAGCTTTGATTTACCTGTGCCCTTCAGAGTAACTTTCACAGCACTGAATTATTAATTTGCTTCTTTTGGCAGCAAAGGCTTCCAATGTGTGAACTGCTCAGACGACGCCAGATTAACAGCTACCACAACTTGGCTGCCAGGACAATTTGTTTGCTGAGAGGTAGCTGTTACCTGAGTGACAAGCTTGGCTGATTATCACCACCAAGAGCAAATCCTTGCTTGTGTGCAAGTCTTTATTACTTCCAAGCAAGCCTCCAGTTAGGAACTGGGAGAAACTGGTGTCGAGGGTTCTGTGTCTTTAATATTAAATATAAGTTCACGATATCGGTTGATTTGCACTGCTAACAGCTCTTCTGTGTTTTTCCCAACCATTGTGTCTTGGTAGGAATTGAAGTTGGGCCTGAAATGCTGGAAGAGATGAGAGAAACTAACCGTGTGTTAATGGAAGTTCGAGACTTGTTGAAACAGCAGGTAAGTGAGGAAGGGATCTGATCCTGGTTTGGTGCTCAAGATCAGTCACTGAATCTTCTGCCTTCAGTGCTGAGTTCTGGGACGGGGAGGCCCTGTTGGGTGACAGAATTATTGCTCTGAACAACAGGGTCAAGAGGTGGTCTCACAATTAGTTCTGTTGTTCTGAGAAAAAGTAGATTCATCTGATTCTGCTGCTTGGAACTCTGTCTGCTGACAGGCAGTGTATGCAGAGAATGAGCTCTTAAAAAAAAAAAAAAAAGAGACACAGTAGAAGTGTATTTGACTGGAAAAACAAGTCAGTTTTTCCTTGGTTTTGTGGGCACTTGAAATCAGTACTGTCCAAAGTTGGAAGGTGGAAGAGACCTTTCAGCTGTCCGTTAGGGTCCTGGAAAGGAAAATTATATGGAGTCTAAACAAGCCCTGTATTCACTTTCCTCTTGTTGTTTTAATCCTAAGCCTTTCTGGCTCTGGTATTTTCTTAGGGAATTTGGAACTTCTTGGGTGCTTAGATCCTTTCCCCTTTTTACGAGGAGATGGTGGTTTGTCTGCTCAACTCTTTTAGGTATAGAAAAAGGTTCCGTTCTCCCTTTATCCATTCTGGGAGCTGAGGGCAGCAGCTTTGGCCTGCCAGCTAATTGGAATGGCAGACAGGCCTGTGTGCCAGTGCAAACTGGGCGGCCTGTAATCTGCAAAAACATCTGTTGCATTGAGTTACTCTCAAATTTCAGGCTTCTGCATAAATACCCAGTGTTTACTAGGAATCAGGTCAGACATGGTTCCTGGCAGCCTGGAGCAATGATTTCCAGTGTTCCCTTCCAGCTTAGTGCTTACACTCCATATAGATTTTCTATTTGTTCTTTCTCTCACTCTTGCCACCTACTTTTTTTTTTTTAATCCATGGGCTTTTTTTAATGGCACTTTCAAGCAAACTCTTCCTGAGAAGACAAACTGACACGTGTCACTGGGAAGCCAGGAGGAGGCACTTCGTAACGTCTTAATTTGTGCAAAGATTTTCTAAAACTCACTTTTTCTTGATTCATCATCTAGAGATGCTGGCAGTCAGGACAGCAAAAGACGTAATAATGAAAGCCCAGGTCTCATCTCCTGAGCCAAAGGCTGAAGAGTTCTCAGCACAAAGGAACCTCTGATATTCATGAGCAGCTCCCCCACATCTCCCCTCTGCATTCTGTCACCCACTCTAATGGGACACATTCTGGGGATCTGGGTTAGCCATACCTCTGCATTAACTGTTCAAAATACCCTGACCACGTTGGAGGAAAGAGAGAATCGAACATAGAATGAAATCTTGCTGCCAGTGGAAGCTGGCAGAGAGACACGACCAGATGATTTTATCCAAGTACAAAGTGAAACGTCTTTAATAGTGGAAACACGAAGTCCATAGGGCATGTAGGGGTGGTCACACACTGTGCCTGAGCATTGGCTGTCAAAAGCCAATAAGGCTTTTTCAGGAAAGAAGCCTGCTAAGGTTTCTGTCTAAGATGCTACAGTCGTGAACATTTTAGCTTATTTTTGCCTGTCCCAAATTCCAACAGCATCTTTTCACTGCCAATGCGACAGATAATCTCTTTGTTGAAGAAAGCTTGAAGGAATAGGAGGCTAGAGGAGAACAGAGGAAGTCTGGAATAAGGAGCCCTTGTGAATAGGTTCAAAATGTCTCTATACCAAAAAATGGTATAAATGAGGTCAGAGGCGACCTGTGTTTTATAAAAGTGGCACACAGGAGATCCTTTCCCTGACTTTGTCTATACAGTGTCTGAGCTGCAGATCACAGAGTCACAGAATCACTAAGGTTGGGAAAGACCTCCAAGATCACCCAGTCCAACTGTCTACCTACCACCAATATTTCCCCATTAAAACGTGTCCCTCATTACCACATCTTGAACACTTCCAGGGATGGTGACTCAACCAATTCCTTGGGAAGCCCATTCCAGAGCCTGACCACTCTTTTGGAGAAGAAATTTTTCCTAACATCCAACATGAATCTCCCCTGGCACAACTTGAGGCCATTCCCTCTAATCCTAAATGATGCACACCTCTCTAGAACTGTTAATTCAGATTTTCTAGAGAAGACACAAGTGAAGTAGATTCCTTTCTGTCCATGGCACTTCTTTGTGTGTTTTGAGTGTTTCCGGCATCTGTAATAGGACAGTTTTATCTAGCTAGCCTGTAGGAATACTCCAGTAGGGAGAACAAGCCACCTCAGCTTCCACAATGTCTACAGCATAGACTTAGGGGTAAGAATTAATTTGTTTGTAAGTAGCTGTGCACTCTCAGACACCCTGTTTTCTGACAGTGGGACCATTAGCTTGCGTGGCAGCAAAACTCAGCCTTTGGCCAAGTGGTGATTCTTGTTTTCTTCCAGATTAAGGAGATAACATTCCTGAAGAACACAGTCATGGAGTGTGATGCCTGTGGTGAGTTACTGAGTTGAGCCCTATATTCAGCTGTTTCCTCCATGTGCTTCATACCTTTGTGTCCAAACAAGTAGTAAAACGCCATATGTGACCACCTGCCCTAAGGAATTGGCTTGTTTCACAGCCACCCGAGTGTCAGAGAGTAATTCTTGGTGTGAGTGATGCTTTTTTTCCCCCATGGCATTCTGCACACATGGAGCAGCGTTGCGTGCTGATCTCACGGTTCAGTGGCAATTGCAGTTATTACCCCTTTGCTGAGCATGGAGTGCAGAAGCAGCATGAAAAATCTCATATCTTTCCAGCAAATCTTCTGCGTTTGCTCACGTCCACCGTTTCTAAAATAAACTTTATTAACGGTTCTGTGACATGCAGTGCTGTGCTTCTCAGGGTAGCTGTGTTCAGAAAGCTGCCCGACCCCATTTCTTATAGCCCAGCCCATGGCCTGTGTTAGGATTGCCTGGGAATGCACACCGGCTGTCCTGCGGGACACAGCTGGCTACTCTTGAGCTGAGCATGGAAGAGAACATCACCCCCAGGAGGCACTGCTCTGCTACTCGTTCCATCTGATGTTGTCACCTTCCAAGCAAAAAGGGTGTTCACAGAGGATTCAGGAAACAGGGTCATAAATTCTCCCATGTACATCTTGCCCTCTGCTCCTCGCTAAATGGTTTTTCTGGACTGGAACTTGCTTCCAATCGATCTGACTTGCAGAAAGCACGGTTCGTGGAGATGCTCTGTTATTTGCCAGTACATTTGAAGGGCGGAGCAAGAACTGTTTCTCCATTTGGAGAGATTGTGCTTTTGCTGGAAAAGAGATTAGCCAAAGCTTCTGGGACCTGTAGTGCAGAAATGTATTCATCCACACCAATTGTTTTAGTAACTCACTCATAAAGCTGTCTTGAACTTTCTCTCTGTTACCTGATCTCTGACTTCCCCACTCGGTTTGTGCTGTTTGTGTGTTCTTCCCTATACTTCTTGTGGTAGAATTGGAGCTGCTTTTCACCGTGCATTGAATGATGTGGCTCACAGCAGTTATATGTGCTTCTCTTATTGTTTCTCAGAAAGAGCAGCATTAAGAGAGAAAGCCTCTGTTTTAGTGAAGATTTTATTGGTGCTAATATAGAGTGTTGGGTTTTCTGTTTGTTTGTTTCAGATTTTTAAAACCAGGCAATTAGGCCAGAGAAAGCAGAAGGAAGAAGTCCCCTAGGGCAGTGCATGTGGGAGATCAGTGACAACTCTAGCTTCTAGAAAGTTTATTCACAGTCCTGAGTTAGTCTTCAGTGAAGTTTTGGCTTCCAGCCCTCTGCAGCACTTCCCAGACTTCAGCCTGTGCTGTGTGGGTTGTGCTTCAGCCAGGTGTCTGGGTCTGTGCTTCCAGTGGGATGTAGATGCAGAGGAACCGGGGAGAGAACTGTTCTCTGTGGAACTCCAAAAGCAAAGGCATTACACGAAAAGGAGGGCAGCACAACAGGAGTTTTGGAATAGGAGGGAAGACTTCTGGATTAATTCATTTATTTTGGTCTGCTCTGACTCAGAGATCAGTCCAGCTGCTGCTTCTGGCTTCCTTTTTCTCTGTTTGCAAAGCAGAGCTGCAGCTGCTTAACTCTTAAAAAGCTACAAGGAAACGTCCTGTGGATGAGACACACTGAAATCTCCTGAGACAACAGGACCAGCTTTGGATAGGGTCTGGCAAAGATAACGCCTTCCTTCATCTTGCTTTTGTCCCCTAGGCATACACACTGAAGCGACAGGCCCTCTCATCACTGTGACACAGTTTAACAGATGTGTCCCAAACCCCTGCTTCCCTGGAGTGCCCTGCACTGAGACCAGCACTGGCTTCCGCTGCGGACCCTGTCCCCCAGGTTACTCAGGGAATGGGTCCCAGTGCACAGATATCAATGAGGTAAGAAACAAGGAGGATGGGCTGGCAGTCACAAAGTGGCCTCGCTGTTCTTGAAGTGCTGCGAGTTCATCTTGTGGCTGCAGAGGAAAGCCTTGCAATTCCCCTAGGAGCTGCAGTTCAGCAGAAACATCATTTCAGTGGAACAAAGTCTGTTCCTCACCCTGCCTCAGTCTGTGTCCATGTTGATTTTATATCCAGTACAGCAAAGCATTTATTTCTAAAGAAGACAGGCTCCAATAAAATAAATCTTTTGGTTGCAGAAAGGTGATTTTGGAATACTAAAAAAATCCCCTTTGGCCTTAAAATCTTTTGAGCTAGTGGCTGATGAGTTGTTAGAGATAAGATTTATTATGTGTGGAGCAGAATCAAATGCTATCCAAATACTCCTTTATACAGTAAATCTTAGCACACCACATGTAATGCTTCATTTCTGCCTTGAAATTAAACCTTGCTAGGCAGATATTGTTTCACTTTTTTCTTCTTTTACATTCAGTGTGGTATTTAATCATGTTTATTTTGTCTGTATTCAAAGCTTTACTCAGTCATTCATTTTCTGTCTCCAAAAGATTCCTTAGTTCTGTGGTTCCCAAATCGTAGTCTCATTCTCCACTGTTAGTCCATCTTACAAAGCCATACCACCTCTGTGGCATTTATAGCAGTTTAAAAACCTGCTGAAGCTAAGAAGGTTCACAGGACATTTTGAGGCTGATGATAATCTGTTAGCCACCAAAATGTGGAAAGTGCTGTATCAATGGAAAGCATCTGCTAGCACAGAGCATAAGAATTCAGTGAAAATAATAACGTGTTGGAGGAATAAAGCAGGCAGCAATATCAGCTTTGGAAGCATAATTGCTTCCCAGAGTAGTAAACAAACAACTGTTGTTGTTTTTCAAAGGCAGTTTAAGAAATTACCCAGTTCACTGGATTCAGAGACTGCCAGGAAGAAGAGTGTGAAGCGAAGCCAGCACTTTGCCTGGGCAATTGATGTCACCTACAAAGAATTAGTCTTGAGATTTTATTTGTTTTACTTGTCTGCACATACTGAGAAATGAACAACTGAGGCTGGGAAGCTGCATTTTCCACTTGTAAGGAAAGCCAGCAACTTCTATGCATTTTTGTTTCGTTCTTAGAAAATAAAAGCACAATAGCTGGATCTTACCCAGCAAGGCCGGCTTTGGGAACTGCCTTCACAACTGGCCCTGAGCGAGCCTGCCTCACAGTTCTGTACGACTTCCTTCTTGTTTACAGTGCAGTGCAAACCCCTGCTTCCCAAAGGTCCAGTGCATTAACACTGCTCCTGGCTTCCGCTGTGATCCTTGCCCTCCTGGCTTCACTGGGCAAACGGTCGAAGGAGTTGGACTAGCTTATGCCAGGGCCAACAAACAGGTAAGGCACAGAAACTCCTCCTTCAGAAACCATCCACTCTTTCCCCTCTGTTATGTAATTAATTCAAGGGTCCTGGAGCCCTCAGAGAAATTGGAGGGAACTACAAGGTAGCTGTGTCATACTGGTGGTAAGGTTGATGCAGTGACAGGGAAGAGTTGCCAAGGCCATCGGAGCACATCAGCAGCAAAGCACCCCGCTCTTAGATCCCAGTGCTGCCGAATTGATGCTGGTCAGAATGCCACGTCTGTGACAGGTGTGAGGCTGTGAATCCAGCCTGAGGAATCCCCCATGTTTTGAGGGATTTGATGCAGCTGGTGGGTACCCAGCTCCTTGTATGGACAGATCCTGTCAGATTAAAACTCAAACAACAAAGGAAAGCTAACACCTAGTCCTACCATGTATATAAGAACATACTGACAAAAGCAAGAACGGCTTGTAGCTTGTGTTATTTAGAGAGCTGCTAGCTGGACACAGGACACGGTCTTTGACCTTCTTGCTCCACTTACTCTCTTCTATCCTTTTACAGTGAGCAGATATGCTGACAGCTCAGCTCAGAGCTAAGCTATTTCATCAGGCTAAAATCTCTGGTGACCCCTTAGAGGTTGGACACCTTGCTTGGGGTCAGGAATGTTTCTGGGACTTGGCTCAATCTTGTCTCAAGGAAAACTCTGAGCTCTCAGTGCCAGTAAGGCGTGCTGGGAGCTTTGTTTCTGCAATCATCCTGCAATCTGACCATCATACCTGTTGAAGAGTGAATTTAATGTCTATTTTGTTCTTCCTGGGTAGGTTTGCACTGACATCAATGAATGTGAGACAGGTGCTGCCAGAAATTGCGTCCCGAATTCTATCTGTATCAACACACGGGTAAGTACTACTGAAAAGCCTTACAGAAATCCCCCTTCCCTGGGTTCTGGGGCCTCTGTTACTGTGGCAATCCAGCACCTGAGGAGAGGTTACAGGAGAAGTTTGCCCAGACTCACAGTTAATTCCCTATTACTTTTTCCTGCAGGGATCCTACAAGTGCGGAGCTTGTAAACCTGGCTTTGTTGGGGATCAAATCACCGGCTGCAAGAGCCAGACAGGGAGACTCTGCCCTAACGGCGAAGTCAGCCCGTGCCACGAGAAAGCACAGTGCATCGTGGAGCGGGACGGCTCCATCTCCTGCGCGGTAAGGCCGAGCCTCCCTGCCTTGCGATCCGCTCGCTGCCGTTTCTCCTGCGCTGTGCTCGCTCTCCCGGGTCTGCCACTGCCCTCTCCTGGAGAGCATTGCCTTGTCGGCTCCCAGTGCTCCCTGCTGACACCTGGGCTGTGGCGATCTCTCTGGGTGACCTCAGGGGTGTGCGCTGCTCCCGACACCTCAGATTCTCTGTGCTGTTAGTTTGGGTTTGTTTGCTGTTTTTATTTTGTTTTTGTTTTGAATTGTTTTAAGCGCTATAAATCTTAAGTCTTGGAGCATTACTCGCAGCTGAAAAAGCACACAAACCATTCCATCTCCTGATCCAAAGTTCTGCTGATGCATCTGTCCGTATGATCTTAGAAACAAACAGAGAAGTTGTATTTGAATTACTTGAAAACGCCATTTTCAGCTGAAGTGTGTCTTTCAGGCGACATTTCACCTGTAGCATTGTGTATCTGGCTTTGCAGTGTGTTCTGCTGGTTCTCATGCAAAGCCTTCAGTTGTGGAAGCATTACCCCTACCAGGGGACTCACCAGCAGCCTCGCTTCATTTATCTGCTCTCTTCCAGTGCCTTGTGGGGTGGGCAGGGAATGGCTACATCTGTGGGAAGGATACAGACATTGATGGAGTCCCTGATGAAAAGCTGCGCTGCTCTGACAAGAAGTGCCGCAAGGTGAGGTGCAGTTCTCACACATTTAGTTAGAAACAGTCCATCATGGGAGCGCTGAGCCAGAAGTGGCTGATTCCTATTTGAGGGCAGGCCTCACCCTGCCTTTGATGCTGTTGAAATCCTGCTCAGCGTGCAGAACTCAGAAAGGTTCCATGGCATGCACAGCTTGGCTGCCTGCCCTGCCGCTTCATCCTTCCTTTCCTTTCAGGATAACTGCATGACTGTCCCCAACTCTGGCCAGGAGGATGCAGACAGGGACGGAATTGGAGATGCCTGTGACGATGATGCTGATGGAGATGGGATATTAAATGCCGAGGTTTGAATTCTACAGCTTATTCTGTCATACCCAAATACACTGAGAGAGGTCCTGCAGAGCAAATTGCCTGCAGCTTTAATGTGAACACAGAGAGCCCTCAGCAAATCCCCCTCTCCTGCAGGACAACTGCGTGTACACCCGCAATGCAGACCAGCGCAATGCAGACAAGGATAACTTTGGGGATGCCTGTGACAACTGTCGCCAAGTGAAGAACGATGACCAACGGGACATTGATGGCGATGGGAAAGGAGATGAGTGTGACGATGACATAGATGGAGATGGTAAGAGCAGCTGCAGCTGTACCGATATCAGAACAAGACAGCTGGTCAGCATGAAGCTGTAGATCCTCGTAACAGGTACCAGCACTCAGAGGCTTAGAGAACTTCTATCTGCTGGCATGAAGGACGCTTCTGTTTTTAAAATGTCCAGATGAGCAGTCAAGCCAGTATCCTTCAGAGTTCAGTTCTCGTAAGGATAAAGTTCTGTCTTCAGGATGATGCTAACAATTTTTCATAGCACTTTTATTGTATGCAGTTAAAGCCAAACTTGTTTCAGGCTTCAGAAAGATGAACGACACAAACTGATGTCAGCCTGGACAAGGACAGTACTTTGTGCTATGATTTCAACTTGTGAAGAAGTGTAGGGCTATCCAAGTTGTTAGAAGCTGCTGCCTCAGTGCAGTGTGTGTCAGGGCTGCGTTCTGGGAGAAAAAACACCACCACTGGCTGCCTTCGGGAGCAGTCTGTGAGCTAGTGATGCTGTATTTGCACAAAGCCTGCTTTCAAAAGCCAAAAATCACAATGGCTGCTGGCCTGAAACATACATATTTATTTACAGATTATTTCCAGTGCATCTAGTGCTGTTTGGGTCTCGCTACTTCCTGCCAAGTAGCTCCCAGCTGGCATGATCTGCTGGTGTAGTAGGTAGATGCAGGGAAGTGGGAAGTGAAGTCATGCAGCTTACCAATTAGGTCGTTCCTTTCCTGTCTCAGGCCTTCAAAAGACACCGTCTGAATCTTCCATGTCAAATAGCCAAGGTTAACTTGGACTTGTTCTTTAATTATGTAGACGTCTAGTTTAGAGAAAAGAGAATCTGTCATAGTTTAGGGAACCGCAGACGGCTTCATCATCACCCTCCTGGCCGCTCATTCCTGCACAGCTCCAGGTTGGAGTTGCATTCCTCAGTTCTTCAGCTCTTCCTCAGGATGCAGTTAGGGACATTTCCTCTCAGGTTCCTGTATGGACAGCAGCATGTTTAGTGTCTGTGAGGATGCAGTCTGCAGTACATTTTAAGGTCAGCTGCTGCTGCTGTTGGCCTTCCTCCATCGAGTCCAAACCGTTGCCTGATTGCACAGATCCAGCCGCCCTCGACATTTGTCACCTCTTACATCCCAGAGAGATCTTGCTGCATGTACTGGAATATTGGCTTGATGGATTCTCTGCATGTTTTACAGGAATCAAAAATCCAACAGACAACTGTAGAAGAGTTCCTAACCCTGATCAAAAAGACACTGATGGTGATGGAGTAGGAGATATGTGCGACAGCTGCCCGACACTCAGTAACCCAGACCAGGTAAGGAAGCACTTCCACTTTTGCAGTGTTACAGCTTTCTCTCACTCCAGACAGTGCTCACACCATCTGCCTGAAGTAGGTTTGGAAAGACAGACACTCAGATTCATCAGGACAAGGTGTAGGAACTCTCCCACTGTTGTGAGCTCCGTTTCTAATCTGAACAACAATGCCAACACCTCTCTTCTTTCTCCTTTAAAGCCCAATTCTCCCACTGACCCATGTTTAAATGATTCTCGCTTTATTTCCCCAGAAAGATACTGATCATGATCTCGTGGGAGATGTCTGTGACACCAACCAGGACAGGTGAGATCTTACAGCAAATATTGTACTTGAGTTGTATGGAATTTTGGGGACACAGGCATGGAAGGCATGCATCAATAAACACAACAAGTCAGCTTGGCCTTAATTTGTGTCTTTTTATTCAAACAAGGGAGGTGGAATTTCCTTCTAACTTCAGAAAACTTGCTCCTGGAAGTACCAAGCCCAAGGCCTGGCAGCTGTGAGCTTGCTGACAGCTGCTTGCTTTTCATTAGCTGCCCCCACAAATTTGTTCATGGACTACAGCTGGAATATTTCTGATCTATTTGTTTGTGCAACTAATAGCTCAAGACATTAAAAGGCCAAATCACCAACTGCCCCTGTTCCTGTAGAGGATCCCAGCTGCTAGAAAGGGCATGCAAGCTTCTGGGGGAAAACAAAGTAAGTGGAAGCTCTTTAGCTGTATAATGCATTTTCTTCCCCAGCGATGGCGATGGCCACCAAGACACAAGAGATAACTGCCCCTCAGTGCCTAACAGCTCCCAGGTGGACACAGACAATGACGGACTAGGAGATGAATGTGATGATGATGATGACAATGATGGGATTCCAGATGAGAAGCCTCCAGGCCCTGACAACTGTCGGCTTGTCCCTAACCCTGGCCAAGAAGATTCGGATGGTAAGGGAAACGTAATCACATCAGCTGCAGGGTTCTCCTTTCCTAGAGGCTGATATGTAGGAGCTTGACCTTCAGGAAGTAAGACCTCCCCAGTACTGACTGCAGACAGTTCTACATCATGTTCAAATCGCCAATAACACTGACATCAGAATGATAGTTGGGAAAAGTTCTCTTCCAGAAGTACCTACGGTGTGAGGTGCTGCTCCTCTTCACAGCTTTCCTACAAGCAGGAGGTGGTGTCAGGGTTTCTTCCATGCTGACAAAAAGGAGGAGCGCAGCCACGCTCTGAAATCTCTTATCCTTGTATAGACATGTCTTCCTTCAGCTGTGCCAGCCAAAAGCTAGCTGAGTAAAACTTAGGTGCAAAGGGTAGGGGAAATTGAAAGCTTGCTTATTCTGTTGTCTCTCAGGTGATGGTGTGGGAAATCTTTGTGAAGAGGACTTTGACAGAGACATGGTGATTGACAGAATTGATGTGTGCCCAGAGAACGCAGAAGTGACGCTAACTGACTTCAGGGCTTTCCAGACAGTCGTGCTGGACCCTGAGGGTGATGCACAGATTGACCCCAACTGGATTGTCCTTAACCAGGTAGGACACTGCTCCAGAACTGGGCAGCAGGTGTGGTGGTAGCAAGCCTGTACAAAATTGGATGCAGTTTTCATTAAAAGCATGCAGGCCTGATGCCTCTGTTCAGTAATGCCCTGGTTGTAGATAGAGGCTTACCTCTGGGTGTAGATAGAGGTGTACCTCTGTGCTCATTTAACAAGAGGGTTGGAGACGCTAATTAGACAACCTTCATCTTTCACAGGGCATGGAAATTGTCCAAACCATGAACAGCGATCCTGGCTTGGCTGTAGGTGAGGCACTTATTTTTGTCCTATTAAAGAATTATTGTGCACTTCACAGCACAGCTTTTAAAACTATTTCAGATGGTGCATAATGATCCCATGTATCCTGGAAAATATTGTTTGCAGTAAGCAGAGTCTCCAGATTTAGCTTAGTAAAGTCTACCACCCCCATCTGAATCTGGGGAGAAACGGGTCGATGTTTTACCTCAGAACGCAGAGATTTTGCTTTCCTACCAACTGCAGGTTACACAGCATTCAATGGAGTGGACTTTGAGGGCACATTCCACGTCAACACTGCCACAGATGACGATTATGCTGGCTTCATATTTGGCTACCAGGACAGTTCCAGCTTCTACGTGGTCATGTGGAAGCAGATGGAGCAGACATACTGGCAGGCAAACCCCTTCCGAGCAGTCGCAGAACCTGGTATTCAGCTGAAGGTAAAGAAAGCACTGAAAAAGAAGTCAGCAGTGGATTTTGGTCTTTCTTAGCTGTGCTTTGATGCACGCCGTGGGGCAGCAGCTGTGGGCAGCTCTTTATCCACATTCCACCACTCTTCTCCACGTTAGGCAGTGAAGTCCAAAACAGGCCCAGGTGAGTATCTGCGCAACTCCCTCTGGCACACTGGGGACACCACAGACCAAGTCAAGCTGCTGTGGAAGGACCCCCGCAACTCCGGCTGGAAGGACAAGACGTCGTACCGCTGGTTCCTGCAACACCGGCCTCAGGTTGGATACATCAGGTGAGGGGTTCCCAGCCTCCTTTGCATGGCTGAGCAGAAGTTGGGCACGGAAAGCAAGCATCTCCAGTGCAGTTCTGTGGTAAAGAGGAGGCAGAGACTGGGGAACCATTTCTGTGAGCGCCTCAATCTCGTCTCCATGTCCCACACGCCTGTTCTCTCTAGAGCTCGCTTCTATGAAGGCCCCGAGGTCGTAGCAGACACTGGAGTTGTCCTTGACACAACTATGCGAGGAGGACGCCTGGGAGTCTTCTGCTTCTCCCAAGAGAACATTATTTGGTCAAACCTGCGCTACCGCTGCAACGGTGAGTTGGTGTGAAGGTCAAACAAGAAGTTGTTGCCATTTTGCTTGAACAAGTCAGTTTATGGTTGGAGTAGGGAATATCAAGCAGTAGCCTAATTCTGCTTTTCATTTCTACTCCTAATCTGTATTTACTTTTATCTCCTTAGATACCATTCCAGAAGACTATGAAACATTTAAGGTTCAGCAAGACTAACCTGACTTTAAAATGTCCAACAAAATCTGCTTATAAAAAAGTGCTCAGCTGCCCCACTGTTGCCTCTGGTATACTGTATAAAGAACTGTAAGTCATATACCACTGCACTCTGCACAGCACCAAGTGTCACTGCACTATCTGGCATGTTTCCTACAACAGCAACTTTCCTGTAAATGCTACCAAATCCTCTTGGAACAGCAGAAGCACAGACGTCAAGTGTGCCTCGAAGCCTGTGCTGCTGTTCTCTGCACTACGTGGAGAAAGATGTGCTGAGAAGCTACTGCAGTAGCTGAATTGTTTGACTAAGATTAGCGTGGATGATTCCCTGGACTTTTTTCCCCACTCCAAGGCTCTCAAATGTAAATGTTGTCTTTTTCGAGACCTACCAAAGCAAACCCAGCACAAGTCTGAAAGGGTCACAGAAAGCCAAGTCCAATGTCCAAGTTGCTCACAAAGTATTAAAAAAAAAAAAAAAGCACTTTAGGGAGAGTATCTTTGTTCTGGAATGTTGGATAATAAATACTCTAATAGACTTCTCCTTGCTCACGTGCACGTTGCTTTTTTCCTCTTCTGAAACTTTTCCATTACTGATACGTAAGAAAGAAACCCTCAAAAGCTGAATGCGAGAGGATGGCTGGAGAGCCTCAGCTGAATTAATGGTTCTGTTAGCAATATGAATACACAGGGAGAGTTTTGTCAGTCAAGAAGCTTCCTCTAGCTAGACCATCCCACCTCGTTCTTGCAGATAAGCAGCAGCTGATTTCAGAATGATAAGCAGAGGCCTTACACTCAGTTTGTGTTACGACACCGTGCCAGAACTCCAAGGAGCAGCCGAGGACGAGGGAAAACTGAAGCCATCCCTACTAAGAGGGGCTCACATGGGCTGGGTGCAGCAGAGGCTCACAAAGGGCTTCTGCAGTTGGTAAGCTGGAAAGTCTGAAGTCCTGCAGTTCTGAGATCTCAATCTCGTCCAGCTCAACAGTTACCAAGCAGCATTAAAAAACAAAGGCCCCGTTTTGCTAGATGATTCATGCAAGCAGCTCACACCAGTTATAGTGAAACTTATGGGTTCATCAGAAAGGCAGCTCCTGCTGAACACTTCACTGCAGTTTTGTAAGCTAGAATGAGGCTGCATGGCAAACACTGCTCCTGGTTACCATCCAGTGCAGCTTCTGTGACATGGTACCAAACGAGCAAGGTGTGAGCAGAGCTTTCCTCCTGCAAAGCTCGTGGCTAAAAGCACGTCTCACCAAGCCCAGGTCTGCGCAGCACAGCGGAGTTGAGTTCACACTCAGGAGGCAGCAGCACGAGCAGAGATGTGCAGGAAGAACCCACTGGTGTAACTGGCCCTAAAGGCTGCTGGCTGATCGCAGCGCTTGCAGGACATCTCCATCCACCATTGCAAGGTTGTCACAAAGACACACACTGAGTTTTCCTTCTTCCACAGGCAGCCATGCAAATGAGCCAGCCCAAATTACAGCCAGCCCCAATTATACACAGCAGCTCTCAGTGCTCCAGGAATGCTCCGTAGCTTCTAAGAAACCACTTCCAGCACGGCGTGGCCACAGGTGGTGCACAGATTTGTTTTCCATAGCTGTCAGAAGCCAACCAACCCAAATGTTTCGCTGTTTGTTTGTAAACACCAACAGACCGACAGTGGAAACCTTCAGACCAAAAAGCAAACAAGGAACACAACAAGAAAAAGCAAAGCAGCCAGAGACAAAAACATTTCAACTTTTATTACATTTCATTTACAAATAATGCAAAGATACAAAGACAAAAGCCTTCACACAAAAAAGAAAAGGTTGAAAAGAATGTACATTTAGTTGAGCTGCTTTTTCACATCATTTCTCAGATTGCAAACACTTAAAGCCAACTTCAGTTTTCCACTTTACCTATAGAAAAAACACAATAAATAAAACTTTTATGTCGCAGGGACAATTTTTCCAGCGTTCCTGTGCCACCAACACTGTAGCTGAATATAGGATTGCATATATCAGTGAAATAATCCACAAATTAGTTTAATAGAAAAAGTTAACTTGTAAAGAACAGTATATTATACTGTCTCTGAAAATGCATAAATCTGACGTTTTTTTCCCAAGCTCAACGAACGACATAAAGTTGTTTTTAGCTGCCAGTCTGTGAGAGAAGCTGCCAAAAGCAGCTGTATTTAATTTGATTAAAATCCAACCTCCCCTCCTAAGCACTGTCACATTGAACTTCCACTTCTTCTACGAGGAATCCCTCCACAGATGGGGGCTCTGTTCAGGTAACAAGAAAAAGCTGCTAGAAGTCCTAATTCCTCCCAAAAGAAAACCTCAGTATCTACTGCCTTATTAGTTAATAGCTGGCTGGAATACAATATTTCAATTGCTACGCTGTATAATGCTGAGCAGAGATCAGTGGATGTGCGACACTGAGATGGTCTGAAGGACGCCCAGGATCAGTGAGTGATGCAGTGCTGCTGAAGCAAGCCCTGCCCCCAGCGTCCAGCCTCACCACGCAACTTCATGCTCATCAGTTCCACCTGCTCATCTTCCCTGCGTTTCATGTCTGCTGGATCCCCAGGCTGAGCCATGTTAACCCTTTCCTGCCAGACAGAGCCTTGGAGCATCGCATGTAAGCGAAGGTGTTTGCTAACTGCTGCTTTTCTGCCTTGACCGAGAGCCGGAGCAGACGGTGCCGCCTTCAACGCTCGCCCTCTGCACAGCAGAGCTCAGCTCCGTTTCTGGACGCTGACGTCCCGTTCTTGAAGGGAACACTGACTCTCCATCACTACGGCTGCAGAACGCAGTTCTCAAACTGGATTTATGAACTGGATTTTAGAACCTTCTGCCCCTTTTTTTTTTCTAAACCACGGCATAAAAACTGTGTGCTGACCGATGCGCAGGACGTGCAAAGGAGCCGTTTGGCCGCACAGACACTGCAGCTCAGAAGGCAGAACGAGATCAGCACTGTGAGCAGAGCCTATCAGAGCCAGCAGCACATCTGCTTTGTGCTGGACCCACAGATGTGGCGCACCCAGAACCTGCCCCCCTTGCAAAGGTTCGGTCGGTGCTATTCCCAATACAAACCCCTTTGCACGAGCTGAAGCCTCATCCCAGACCTCCCCTCACCAAGTGTCAGTGGTGACAATTTAAGCTTCTATTGCACATTCAGCTGCAGGATGGACCGACCTGCACAGGTCTCCGATGGAGCAGGGGGAGATCTGTGCCCGCTCTGCAGCCCTCAATTGCCACGCAGAGCTGCGTGCTGCATCTGCTCCATCCGCCCGCGTTTGTTTGTTGAAGGCTATTCTAAAGCGGGCCAGGAGATGAAACCTGGATCATATTGGTTTAATTGTCCCCCCCCAAAGCCTCCTGGGGTTACGTAAACGTGGAGAAGAGGAGCACAGTGCCGCAGGTCAGCGCTCTGCTCTCCAGCACACAAACACCCCTGGTCCCCATCGCTGCGAGGCCACCTCGCTCTCATTTGCCACAGTCAAACTAAGAAAGACACCACAAAACGGGATCCAACGTGTGTTAACAACCCAATGACTTCAACAGAAAAAAAGCCACGCCGACACGAACGTGTCTGCTAAGCCACAGCTGGGGGAGGGCCGGGCGCATCTGCTTCTTTTGAATTTGCTCATTACAGGGGGGTGGGTGGCACGGACAGACAGACAGCGTTCCTCCAAACAGCATCCGGACGAGCTCAAAAACACAACAAAGCAGCGAAACGCAGCACAGCTCCAGTCTATGGTGGGAGGTGACCTGGCTGCCACTCCTCAGCAGCTCAGCGCTGCTCAGTCCCAACCATCGGCTCAAAGCAAAGGAAAATTCATCAGGACCAACACAGCACAGACAGAACCCAGCGCCCGCCCCGACCCTGGCAGGCAGCAGCAGAATCTCTTCAAAGCAGCCAACAATTGGTGACAGCTGAGATATCAACACGTTCACACTGAAACAAGCCCTACAACGTGTGCCCTGCTTCAGTGACGGAGCACGAGAAGGGAAAGCGATGGCAGAACAAAAGCGGTCTGTGCCAGCACAGTGCCACAGCATCACTCATCAAAACCCATCAAACCCATCGGCTCTGTTGGAACACAGCAGCAGCCACGAAGGGGAAACAGCATCTGTCTGCACAGTTACATCATAAAAGAAAAAAAGGGGAGATTGAGGAATTTGTATGAGCTGAAGGCAGGAAAATTAAGGAGTAAAACAGTCAAACCTATCATCTCCACTGCCATCCTATCATCTGCTGTAAGAGCCGTCTGAGGTGCTGTCACTGCTGTGTCTCACTTGTGTGACAGCGACGGCAGAAATGCCATCAGAAGAAGAGCAGTGAGGAAAACACCTCAGATCCCACAGAGATCTGTCCCTGCAGCCCTGCTGGCCGCAGCCGCAGCCCAGCACCGAGGGCTCCCTGCGGACAGGGGGACGCTTGGCAGCAGAACAGAGCTCTGCTCACATCTGTCAGACCTTTCCTCCAAGGCAGAGGCAGAATATGAGAACAAAACGTTGGCTGCTGAATGAACCAAACGGTGCTTTTTGCCAAATCGCTCCGCTTCCTCAGCTGGCACCAGGCTCCTTCCCAGCAGTGCTCACAGCTGCGCCCCCACTGCAGACCAGCGCTGCTCCAGAGCCCTTTGCTACGGCTGAACCCGGAATGCGGTGACCGGGAAGGCTGAAATTCAGAGAGAAGTTCAGAGCTGCCCAACAAATCACCCAGGAAATGGCAGAGGGAGCAACAGCCCGACAGCGAACACAACGCGCCGGGCCAAGGCGATGCGCTGCCCCTGGAACCTGAGGACGGGAGGACGCACAGCCGCCGTCCACAAGCAGCTGCAGGGGGAAGCAGACGGCTGCTCCGCTCCTGACTTCTGGTCTCATTACCTTCACCTGCAGAAATCCACAGCGCTCACAGACTCTTCCCATCCCTAAAGCAGAGAACCTGCAACAAGCAAAGAGCGAAGCCATCGCCACCAGCAATGGGAGAAGAGGAGGGAGAGGCTGCGCTGCTCCCAGGAGAACGCGGGTAAGAGCTCAGCCCAGGCTCCCTGCAGCCACTTCCCACACCTTCCCTTCTGCACCGACTCCCCAGCACTGCTCTGCTACGCGCTGCCCCTCTGACAGCACGGCTCCACCTCCCAAAGAAACCAGGCGGTGCATTTACCCCTTCAGGCCTTTATTTTGATAAAATCGGTCAAGCCCACATAAGGCAACAGACACCACAGTTCAAACCGCCCCCCTCCCCCGGCGGAAAATAAAATAAATAACACAAATGAAGAGAGTACGTAATGTAGTGTTTCGTTCTGCAGTATAGAAATTCCACACAATGATTCCGTTTAAAAAGGTAAAAATGATTTATAGTACACAGTAATCATGTCATCGTGGTGCCCGCATAGAAAACCGACATGCAATCCATGCCTACACTGCGCAGTATAAATAAGATGCAACTAGAAATACAAAGGACAGGAACACTACAAATCAGCGTTAGGGTTTTTTTTCCCCATTTGGGTTTTTTTTTTCGTTGGTGTTTTTCTGTTTTTTAAAAAGAACACA